AAAAAACAGTAGAAGCAGAATCAAAAAAAAAAACATAAGCAAAAGCAGTAAAAAAAACAGTAGAAACAGAAAAAAAAACAGAAGTAGAAAAAAAATCTTCGCATCAGAAAATCAACAGAAGCAGAAAAAAAAATAGAATCAGCAAAATATGCATTTACAAAAAATATCAACATCAAACAAAGAGAAGAAGAAGAAGAGAAACAGAACTAGTGTGTGGACCAGCGAGGACCATAACTAGAACTAGAAACGAGAAGAAGAAGAGAAACAGAAAAAGAGAAGGCAAACCTGTGTGTGGACTAGCGAGGAAGAAGCGACAGTCGTCATCTCTGACCAGCGAGGAAGGAGCAGTAGCAACTATGATGCCCTGACTTTTGGCGGTGATTTAGTATGTTTCATGTGATTTATGTGACAAATAGACACAATTCGTCAAATAAATTGAACAGTTCACGTATTTTGGTTTTGATTAGACAATCAGAGCATTTATTTAATATCATAGTATAAGTACCCAAATTATACATTCATCCCAAAAGTAGTCCATAATCGATACTATTACATCCCATTGGTTTTAAAAACACACAAAAGCAATAAAACACAAGTCACAAATCTTAAATTTTTCTAAGCGTTAACATGAAATATAATATCTCGTAAGCCAACTAAGCACAGATATTCAAGATAGCTCTGGGAAGAAACCCCCGTCATCTCATGGTCTAGTCCTTGCAAAAATGTTAAGGTGAGCTACGCTCAGCAGGAAAAACAACTACTAAGTTTTAATCCCATCTCGTAAAATATGTGCCAATGCCTATAAGGTCACATTGAATAATATATACTGTAACAACATGCTTAAAACATAGCATAAGGCATTATATAAACATTACCAACATACACAAAACCAACGAATGATGGAAAATTTCAATTAAGTATGTAATCGATCTTACCTATTCATGTCATGGGTCATCCTAAACTTTCACTCATAGTCTTTATCCATTTAAGTCAATACACCGTTTGTTATGCACAAACACCTTGTGAACTCCGGGTCCCTTTGAGGGCTTTAACCTCGGGTGTACCCCACCCCCTCATCCTTAGATGCTTTCAATCATGGCATAAGTGACCCCGCTCCTCGACGGATGCTACGCTTGATGAAGACTTGTTTCGGGTCTTTCAACCAAGGGAGGAACGATCCTTTCTTACTTGTCCCAATTTCGTTTCGAGAGTTATCATTTCATGTGTCTCAAAGTTAGTTGAGCACGCTAACCGAAATAATCACAAATGATCCATTTACCATCATGATAGCAACTAAAATGTAAATAATATAATCATGAATATGCATTTTAATATCTCTTCAACATGCTATCATATACGAGTATATGCTACTCAAATCAATATATATATATCATGATTAGCATTCTAACTATGTGGAAGTGTACCACCCTTCACACATAATACTTCTCTTGTAAATTTTCATATATATTAGTGGTTTAACTTTCTAACTATGCGGAAGTGTACCAGTGTACCACCCTTCACACAAAATACTTCTCTCGTAAATTTTCATATATATTAGTGGTTTAACTTTCATAAGTAACCACACTTTTACTTGAACAATGAATATATACATAATTTTTATCACCATGGGAGTAGTTCACAACTCCAAGAAAATACCATCTTAAAGGCCACACGTGATTTGGTGGTCTTTCCACACGGATATAATCTTTTGGATTCATTCACGAATCTTTAGGAACTTCATTGCAATTAGAGGTCAATTTGTAATATTCAAAAGTATTTTATACTTATTGGGGTCAATGTATAATTTCAAAAATATTTCCTAACTACTAGAAATATTGATTTGGTGCTTTAGTAGTATTTTATGATTTTTCTGGGGTGTTTGTGTAATTTCAACAGGTACTTATTTGTTACTTGTGAAACACAAATGGGCTTTTTGTAACTTAACAAAACTTTGAACTTAACTTTGTAATTTCTGCAAGTAGATATATAATGTATCTAAAACTAAGGGGGAGTTTTTGAATTTAAGCAAACATTTCATTCATCTTGTCCAACGTCCAGGCATGCATCAGAAAGCTTCTTCTCCCCTTTTTTTTTTTTTCTCTTTCTACCATAAATTGTTTCTTTTGTTCATTTCTTTCAAATCTAAAATTCCTTATTCATTACCAAGGACCTAGATTACCTTTCAATAAATTTTCATCTCATTCCTTGATGAAATTCGAAGACCCATTTGACAATTTCATTCATATGCATGTGCGTATATATATATATATACACACACACATAGCTCGTCCACATATATTATTCATCGACATGCACACCACATATTCTAGATCAGCAACTTACAAAGCAAAAAGAAAATTAAAACCGTAGAGAGATATGAAAGAAAATAAAGGAGTTGTAATTCCTACCTTTTGTCTAGAGCTAGTGGTTGTAGGTTAAAAGTTTTGGTACTTAAGCTTCTCCTCTTCCAACAATGGGGGCTCTCTCTCTTCTCTATGCTGTTTTTTCAATACCAAGGCTGGCAAATTGTTTTTCTCCCCTTCTTTCATTTGTTTTGCCTGTATTTATACACTAAGAAGGAGTGGGCTTCTATCCAAGTAGTTGGTGAGTCAAAGATATGGAGTAACCTAGCGTCATGGGCAACAATGACAGGGCAATGATGTTTTCTTACTTTCCTATGGGCGGCAATGGAAGGACAATGATGTTTTCTCGCCTTCCTACCATAACCAATGTTAGCTAAATAGCCATGGTAGGCTGCCATGACTGATAATACTATTCATCATTTTTTTTATAATTCATTCAATTCTGTTTAACTTAAGCTAATTTGACCTTGGTACTAAACATAGTCAATATTATATTAGTCAGACTCGTTTTCATGAGGAGAATTCAACGATGAAGTATATTTCATCATCCTAGTTTTCTATTAAAAGTCAAAATTTTGATAACTTAATAAATATAATTATAAATAACGGGTTTTCATAGTAGCCATCACTCATCATCTAACCTTTTGAGCAAGATTAGGGCTTGGGTGTTGTATTTATAGGATACGGGGGTAATTGAGTGTATGTATCTTATAATTTTTTTCAATTGCCCTAATTTAATGATCCATAATAAAAATAAAATAATCCAAGACAATCTCGCCTTGCATAACTAAGGCGCTCGCTTTCTCGCCTTTCACTTAAGCGCAAGGTGTGCTCGCTTTTCTAACTTTTTTCTCATTTCAGTCACATTCGCTATGCCTAGGGTGCTCAAGGCCACAGACCCTCGCTTCGCTTCTCACCTAGGCACTTGCCTAGTTGAGCTTTTTAAAACACTAGCACGACCGTTATTATCTGGGTGGTGGTTAGGTAGAAGCTAGCTGTCTTTTATGCTATCCTCCTCGAGAAGCAGTTGTAAGGATGAGAAGTCTGACTTTGAGCTCCATGGGCATCCAAAGCGAGCTGGGCTCCCGATCTAGGAAAGTAGGACCTGAATTATCGAGCTCATTCTCGAGCATATTTAAGGTATCATTGGCACCAGTGCAATCGTCAATGGCTAGCTTACAACGTAGCGATGATTTGATAAAAAAAAATCCCAGTCCTTAGCAACTGCACTTTCACCACTAGGCCAATAATAATTACATTAATATTGGTTTAATTCTGATGTGGATCAGTGGTAGTCTTTATAGGAGTATAGTACTAATGTAGGCTTCATAACCATAAAAAGTCCATACTCTGATTTAACACTAGCCATTATTTCATAGTTTCTTGAAAATGGCAACACATCTAAGAAGCATTGCCCAGGAAAGTGCAGTTGGTTTTTTATAGGCTTTGGAAAAATAGCTGGAGAAATAGTTGGAGAAAATTTAACAAATTATTAATTGATCCAAAAATATGAGAATTAATGTAAGCGGATTCACTTGAGACTAATTCTGCAAAATAGTTCACATGCAACGCATATGTACACAAAATGGTAAACTAAAAAGGAATATTGTGCAATGCCAAATAATAAAAGGGGTGCTCTTGATGATATAAAAACTACAGGGGGTTTAGATGAAAATTTTCTAATAATAAACATGCCGATATATTTTCAAAATTCTTGTTTGATTTGCATATCAAAAAATAGGATCCAAAAATTATTTTTGTGAAGATTTTTAAGAGAGTGTTTTTAAAAAATTTAGATTGTAAAACTTGTTTGGTTATATATTTTTAAAAATAGTTTTAAAAAACAAAAATTATAAAATCTGTTTGGACAATAATCCACAATTCCCACCTTTCTTTTTCTTTTCTCTCTCTCTCTGTCTCCACAAAACACACTCACACAGGGGCACACACACACACACACAAACCTATACACACAAAGACATATGCAAACGCGCACAGATCTATATGTATACACAGATCTGTGCTTAAATTTTTGTAGATCTGATGCTTCAATTGTTGCGAGAGATAGAGAGATCATATCTGAAGCTTCTGGTTGCGGTGAAGAAAGAAGACGTTGGAGAAGATGAGCTCCCTGCGTGTTTGTTCGTTTTGTCTGAGAGGCAAAGTAGAGACAGAGAACTGGAGAAGACAAGCTTTGTGTGTGTGTGTGTGTGTTCGTTGTGTTTGATGGGCAGAGTGGAGAGAGAGAGAGAGAGAGTCAGGGACATAGGAAAGAAAAAAAGAAAAAAAAGAAGGAAGCCTATATATATTATGACTAGTTTTACTCCAAAGGGGATTTGAATGACAAATCTCATTAAAGAGTTTTGTTCTCTATTTTTCAAAATTTTTGGCATAAAAGTGTGAAAACAAGTGTGACTTATTTTTTTATTTTTTTTGCTTAAATTCTCACTTTTTTTTTCCAAATATTTGAGAATAAAAATTCGAACCAAATGAGTTTCTATTGTTTTAAGGTTTTATGAATAAAAAACAGTTTTGAAAATTCAAACCAAACACAGCCTTTAAAGTTTTTAAAATTCTAACTGGGGAGAATTTCATAGGAAACTTCTCAATCGATTATCCCAACAAGTTGGTGTTATCATGATCGGTTTAAACTTCTTTCCAATTACAAAATAATCAAAGATTAGAGAATTTTTCTACTCAGATGAAGATCTATACATGTCAGCGAACCACCATCCTCACCGTACAAAATGGATTAAAGGATCCTCTAAATATTCTATAATTGGACAGCAGCCACACCCATCCTTGTGCTTACCAAACTACCCAGTAGTGTTATAGTTCTACTTCTATCAGAATACTGCTCTGCTAGGCTCACACGCAGTAGAGTAATAGCTGAAGAAGGAGACTACTACGCGTACACTACCGCCTTTCCTACCCTATATACATCGAGAAGCGTTTCACCACACTATGACAAGAAGAATTTCCACAATCACCGGCTTCAATTGTTCCCAAGTTTCGACCGCAAGAAATCCGAAGCTCTCATCGGAGTTTTTCCAAGGCAAGATTTTGAATACCCTTCTGCTTTTTTCCTGTTCTGCATTGCATCGATCACGTTCGACGGTATGAAAGCTCTGTTGTTCAAGTCGAAGCCCCGGAAGAGGTCGCCGGAGGAGCTCGTGCGTCGTGTACGAGACCTCCTCATCTCCGTTCATCGCAACACCGAGACCCGCGAAAGCAAACGTCAAGAAAAGCGTTCTGAATTGGAGAAACTGATCATGGAGATGAAGATAGTCCTTTATGGCGAGGGTCACTGCGAACCCGTTTCCGAAGCTTGTGCGAGATTGACTCAAGAGTTGTTCAAAGATGATACATTTCGCCTTCTTGTCTTTTGTCTTCCAAAATTGGATCTGGGGTGTCGCCAGGATGCAGTCCATGTGTTTGCGAATTTACAAAAGCAACAGATTAAGCCAAGATCAACATTGATTGCCTCTGATTATTTGGAACAAAATTTAGATCTTTTGGACACTTTGGTGAAAGGCTATGAAGACCCTGATCTTGCTTTCTGTTATGGAACAATTTTGAGAGACTGCACGCGTCATCAAGTCGTTGCAAAGTATATACTCGATTCAGAGCACATGAAGGAGTTGTTTGATTATATACAAGACCCAAATTTTGGGATAGCATCAGATGCAGCAGCAACCTTTAAAGAGCTATTGACAAGGCACAGATCAACTGTTGCTGAGTATCTTTCAAGAAATTATGACTGGTTTTTTGGGGAGTACAATTCCAAGTTGATGGGTTCTTGCAATTACATCACTAGATGGCACGCCGCCAAGTTGTTGGGGCAGATATTGATGGATCGTGCAAATTGTTCAGTGATGATGAGATATGTAAGCTCATTGGATAACATGAAGATGGTGATGAATTTGCTCAAGGAGTCGAGCAAGAATATCCAGTTGGAAGCATTTAATCTGTTTAAGCTTTTTGCTGCTAATCCAAATAAGCCTCCTGAGATAGTCAATGTCCTTGTCGCAAATAGAACCAAGCTTCTCCAATTCTTTGGTGGCTTCAGTTTTGATAAAGAGGATGAGCAGTTCACAGCAGACAAAGCTAGAGTTGTGGAAGCAATTTCTACTCTTCAAAGCTTAAATCGTTCATGTGGCGCTTTAGACAAACGTGAGAAAAACCTTACTATGGCATGCAGTGTATAGAAATTCTTTTTGTGAAGTATCATTTATAATTTCAGGAGAGTATAGTTCGCAAATGTAGTGTTTTTTAGTGAGTTCTGGTGAGTTTCTATCTCCTGGAATGAAATAGGAAAAAGATGTGTGAAGGATGTTGCTGTAATTTAATATCAAAGTTTTGAACCTGAGGAATTTCTGCAGAAAATTTTCTGAAATGCAGCTACTTGTTCCCTGTCTTGAATTGTTGCATGTCTTATCGTATGTTTATACTTGCTTTAGATCAATCTACATTAACAGCTCATTTATTCATCACCTTTTGAGTTGACAGACAGATATTTGAGATATAATAAAATAAGTCTCTAGATTTTTCTTCAAAGTTACTACTTTAAAATTCCAGATTATTTATCAAGACGCCTTCTTAATTTGTACACTTCAATTGCTCGTGAATTCCTCTACTCTGTCCGGAGTGATTTCTTTAGTTAGAAATCATATAAACCCATAATCTGGAACCGATTCTCAATTTCTGTCACTTCAAATTTATGGCCTGAGCCTGTTTGTGGTCTGTGTTTTGATACCACTTATAGCAAAGAACTGTACTCGCTGGTTTATGTCCATCACATTTCATGTTGAAGGGAATGTGGAGTGACGACGGTAAGAACAGGGCAATTGCTTCTAATGAAAAAGCTGGAAGAGAACCATAGTGCTATTGTCTTTTCTAGCTTAATCACTAAATTACACAAGATCAAGGTCCCCTTTGGATTATTTTAGTGACGATCGATGTAGGTTCTGTAGGCAAATAATCAGTGTACATCTATTTATAGGAAATAGATATGATATGATTTATAAGATTCCAGGTGCTATTGAGAAGTTTCTTCCCCTGGTGTGTACGGGGAATGAGATTCCAAAATTGTACCCGTTTAATGACTTAGTGAAATTGAAAAGTGTAGTTCTTATGAGTTTTTCTTACTGAAAATCAATCTTAGTATTTAATTGTTTTCTTTGGTCTACATAAATCTATGCCTGTGCCTACGGATAATAGGATATGGGGATTGTTGTTGGCAAGTATATTCAATGTCTTTCACCTTTTTTCCACTTTTAGAATACCCATTATGATTTGTTTCATTCTCACTTAACCGCACATTTCAATGGAGAGTTGTAAAATTTGTAATCCTTTCTTGTCAGAATTTTTTTTGCTGTTGTTGTTGCTATTACTGTCAAACTTTTATAGTACAAATGAATTCTACCTACTTTACTGAATAAATCGTTTTCTACCTGTTTTCTTTGTGTAATCATGATCGATACGGTTCCTGTAGGCTAACAAGCAGGTTTATATTCAATACCATTGCAATCATTTACTATGCTCATCACATGTAAATATTGTAAATTTGGGAAAATCGTTCATCTATCTTAATTAATAGAAAACAAAATATAATGTAATCTTGAAGATAACCATGGTTTTTGTGTGAGATGAATTTTGCACAATAAATAAATAAGAACAGATCTCTCCCTTGGTGAACTCTTGTTTACCACAAAAGTCAACGATCCAGTGGCAAAAATAGGTCAAAGGGAGCTTAAGGAATAGTGATGAATTGCTTTAGGGGCAGTCCGATTGATCCTGACACGTCATTGAAGCTTCTTGACACTCAAAATAGAGGTTAGAATGACGTCGGAGTGTTTTTCGGCGTATCCCCTCTGACGATCTAGTCAGTTTGTGAGAGAGGGAATCAGAAAAGCAGAGTGTATGTTGTGAGAAGTCAATTTGTTTCCCCTTGCTTTGAGTTTTAGAAAGCTATTTATACCTTCTATAAAGGTCATCATTACTGATTAGTAGGCAGCAGGCGGTGCCCAATCATTGGCAGTGCACCCTCCATTTTGCAATGGCTGAGTTCAAGTATTAAATACTTGGCCTCTCAAGCACTTAATATCCTTTCTCCCTGGCCCCCGAGCATTCAATGCTCTTTCTTCAATGCATAGTCATTAAATGCTCGGTCTCTGGAGTATTTAATGTTCCTTCTCCTAGGCTTCTCAAGCCACCCTGGACGTCACATCCCTATGAGGATTTACTAAATGCTTCTCTAGGATGACTATATGTTAGCAGGGGTATTTTTGTCAATTTGCCCTTAATCCTGTACAACATGCCACGTGTCTAACTCCCCTTGGTTGTTGGTCTCGTTCACTCTACCATTCTGACTTCATGGAGAAGACAAGCCAATGACTCATTGTCAGCCCCTGAGATTGATGGGTTGTAACAGTCATTAATGTATCCTGAAGCCGAGGTGACGTGTCGAAAAAAATACTCGAGACCAAACCATGCAGGGGGATGCATGAACAGGAATTTGAAGGTGTCCTTGATGTCGAGGACACGTGTTATCTCCAGAGAACATGGGGTGTCCTCGGTGCCATGGCTTCTTGAGAGTCCTCAATGCCAATGACACGTGTCAGATCCTAGTCATTTCTCAGGAATGTCCCATCAACTACCTCCAGCCTTTTGATCTTCGTACGACAGGGGAGACATGTCGAAAGATGGAAGGGCTCAACCACTTTCATCATTGTCTAGTTGCAATCTCGTTTTCAAAGGCCATGCGCATTGAATGCACCCATCATCATGTCTCGTGTGCAATGATGGGGCAGGCTCTATATAGACAGAGTCTTGTCCTCTCCTTCATACTTTGAAATCCCCAGCCAACTTAAGAAGCACACCTTGCCGGAGATTTATCGGAGTCGTTGCCGTTCGTTTGATCTTTTTGCCATTCTTCTTCGCGAAGGCCATCATTCACTAAATCTATGTTTTCTCAATTTGGTGAGTTTACTCTCCCCCATTTTTCTATTTTAACTTGTCTCCCTTCCCTTTTTCCTTCCGTTTTCTCGGCGATTCCTTGTCTTCCACTCTCTCCCATCCCATCTCCGATAGGACAGTGCAATCCCTTTGCCTTCTCCTCCGTCATTTTGCCTTCTGTGGTGTCCCTTAGGTTTCCAATCTTTAGAAACTACTCCATTGGACTCTTCTTTTTTCCTTTAAGAAATGTCGAGGCGTCGTTGCCCTGTCACGGAGGTCCAAGAGGCTTGAACCTCTAGGCCGAAGACGTACACTGTCAAGGGCCGCCAGTAGATCACTAATTTCAAAATCCACTATGACATTCCTCGTAGCGTTGACATGGATGAGTTTGATCCCGCACGTTATCACCCCAATGTCGGTACCGAGGACGCCACGTCCTTCTACACCAAGGCTATCATGGAGGGTGGGATCAGATTCCCCCTCTATCCACTCCTCCTTCAATTCCTGTCCCGGTTCCATCTCTTCCTAGGGCAGTGTTGCCTAAACACTTTTAGAATAATCATGGGGTGGGTGAGCGCAATAGACGTCTCGGGGTCAACCTGGCCTCGAGGATATCCTCTTCTGCTACTCCTTGCTGAGAGTGATGCCCCAACAAAATTTCTATCTAAAGCCTAGAACCCTTCCATGTACCTTAAGACACACCTCCCGGATTCTAAAAAGGGGTACAAGGATGATCTGCTGGTTTTCAGGGTGCCTGGGAGAGGGGGGTCAGCCCTGAGTATGACAGCTTGAGTTGCCCCAAGGAGTGGCGAAAAACAAGTACGTCAGCTTCTCCCTCTCTTCTCAACTTCCTTAGTTCTTGATAGCTTTTATATAAGTCCTCATGCTCTTATTCTTTTGTGCAAGAGTCTCCAACTGTGAAGCTGCTCCTCTGCCACGACATCTAGTTAATTTTGACGATATCGTCATTGTCTGGGGTTACATCGGCAACGAGTTTGGCAGAGCAGCCCATGTACTTCTAGATTATACCCCAGGGTACAAGAAGTACTCCTAGACCCCTCAACCCTTTGATCCCTCGAGGTGTTCTGAGCTCTTCCATTAAAACCGAGAGGAGGACCCCGACAGAGCCACTAGAGCCGAGTTAGAGGGGACTGCAGAGGGGGAGGCACTGATGAGGCAGCAGGAGCTAGGGGACCTTCCACTACAGTCCACCCCGAAACCAACATGTCCGGGAGGGAGACTTGACCTGATTTCGACGTTCTTCAGAATCTGAACGAAGAAGACGCACTCAAGGTTGTTATGTCTAACCACCCTCGCATCAACCTAGCTTATATCAGGAACGAGCCACCCTCAAAGCCACAGGGGGCCGAGGGTCGAGCTCCAAAGAGCCTCCCCTTCCACCAAGAAAGACTTTTATTCCCCCTTCACCTCTTGGAACCAACATTGTGCCTCCAAGGTCGACGGGCGGGCCGCTACCAGGCCACCTAGAGATCCTCAATCTGAAGAGGAGAAAAGAATCAAACAAAGGCATGACGACATCGCCATGGAAGGGGAACTCCTATCCCCTTGGCACTAGTACCTTCATCAACAACACCATAAAAACAACAACAAAATAACAATTCTGACTTCTCCACCGGCGTCCGACAACTCAGCGGGGAATGGCGCCCTTGCGCCTGGGATCAAGATAATAGGCCGATCCGAGTCTCCGACTCCATCTACATTCTCCTCATGTGCCTATACCTGACGTGCGTGACCCTCCTTTCGGTGCCGAGACATGGAGGACACCGGGGCGGACAGACCAATCACTTCAATCACCTCTTCTGCTCTATCATCCAAAGTTCGTTGGTGGTAAGGCTTCTTTAGTAGTAGTACTCTTTCCTTATTTTTATTCTTTTTGCATCGGTGAAACTTCTCTTTTTTCCTTCTAATAGACTGCCCGGCAAATCTCAGTTATTCTGAGCGCTACCATTCGCAGAGCAGAGGTAGAGTCTCAGTAATCCAAGAGGTTGAAGGTTGAAGTCGAGAGAGCTCTAGCCACAGTAAGGAAAAAGGTGGCAGCCCAGGGACAACACCTTGTCCTCCCAGGTAGCCTAGATCACTGAGCTCTTAAATGAGGCAGAGACAACTAAGGGAAATGCTGAGAAGACAAACGCTGTTTTCATCAACACTGAGAAAAAGATAACATAATCAACCAAACAACTCTTGGCGTCGGAGGCTAAGGTCATGGAGTCAGAGTAGATCATCTCTACTCTTTCCCAAGAGCTGGACAGAGTGAAAGCAGCACTGAAGGTCGCAAATAAGACCCGGGCAGAGAGAAGAACTGTCGAGTGTGCATATGACATTTTG